TTCTCCCACAATACCCCCAAGGTCTGGATGCTGGAGACAGATCACACCTGAAGATGCCATTCCTGTGATTGTTCCCCTGTCTGCCTCATGTGTTCCCTTGTAGTACAACTCTCACCTTTTCCCTTAGGGCAGGAATCTTCTCAGGAATGGTGACAGAACTACTTCTGGGTGTGAAATAACCATTTCAGTATGTGTCAGATGCAGTGCAGAGCGCTGGATGTATATCATCTCATATAGTCCCCACACCAACCCTTTCCAGGAAGTTTTGTTCAAAAACTTTATATTTAGTTTAGGGAAATGAAGTTCAGGAAGGTTTAGAAGTTTTCCCCGTCACACGGTTGCAAAGTGGGAGATTTGAACACATCTGTGCCACTCCCAAAGCCTATTCTATTAACGGCTCCCCTGCCCCAGACAAGCCCCAGGGCAGCCCGCAGAAACCCGTATCTAGGATGGCAAGATCTGAAGCAGCAGCTCTGATGGCTCAGTGTTCTGTGTCTGCCTGAAGCCAGGCTGGGAGACAGTGTAGTGACAAGTGACCAATTTGCTGTGGGAGGGGGAGAGGGACAGCTCCTGCCATGTGTGTGATATCAAGATGCATTTCACCCATATTGCAGCTGACGTGTGTGAGCTTCCCGTTGCGACTATAATGGTTACTACAAATTTAGTGGCTTAAACATGTCGACGAAAAATATCGCCGTTTTTTTTAAACATGTCGACGAAAAATATCCAGCCTAAGAGAAAATTTGTAAGAGTTTATTTGAGCCAAACTGACGACAATTGCCGGAAAGCAAAATCTCAACGGATTGAGAAAATGCTCCAGAAAATGGCTGTTTTGCAACTTATTTTATACATTAGAATCAAAAGAGGAAGGTTACATGAAATCTATTGGTTATAGATTAAGGGGGTGGGAGAAAAGCAAAGCGGGGAAATCTCTGGGATTGCCTAAAAAGTAAAATGGAGAGATACACACTTCTTTTATATTGGTGGGTACAGTATAATTAATAGCATTTTATAGCACATAGAGGTAGTATTTGGGGAACAAGATAACAATGAGGGTCTTTATAGTTTCCTGCTCTGGTGTGGTGGGTTGTGCCCCCTGGGGGGTCCGGAAAAAGAGATGACTCTGATGTTGCAAGGGTATGTTGTCTGAGATGCAAAAAGACCACAGACAGGCTTAAGGTAAAGATTGACCTTTGTCAAGAATATGACTTCCCACCATGGCCCACCTTTGTTAGGAATTTTTATGTTCACGCCATCCTCTGTAGTTATTTTCAGTCTCCTGAGCTTGTCAGGTTTAATATGTGGCCCCTTTTCCGTCCACAAACAGCACAAATTTATTATGTGATAATTCTTGAAGTCAGAATGCCAAAATGTGTCTGTGGGGCTAAAATCAAGGTGTGGCAGGACTGGGCCCTTCTGGAAGCTCTAGGCGAGAATCCATTTTTTGTCTTTTCCAGCTTCTAGAGGTGGCCTGCATTCCTTGGCTTATTAGCCGCTCTTCCTCCCTCCATCTTCAAAACCAGTGGCATAGCACCTTGAAATCAATGTCTGTCTGCCTTCTGCTTCCATTGTCACATCTCCTTCTCCTGACTCTGACCTTCCTGTCTCCCTATTATAGGAACCCTTGTGGTTACCTTGAGTTCACCTGGATATTCCAGAATAGTCTCTTTATCTCAGGATCCTTGAACTTCACTACATCTGCATAGTTCATTATCCGGTATAAAATTCTGGAGATTATGATGTGGCCATGTTTTAGGGCGCTGTTATTCTGTCTACCATAGAGTAGTGTTGTGTGGGGTGGTCCGGGTACTGTTTCGTGGGTGGTTTTTAAGTGCTCTGGAGCAGTGGAAGCATTATTTGGGCATGAATTAAGGGTAGCCTGGCGCACCATCTGTCTGATGCATGTGCTGAGAAGCCGTGCACTCTGTGACTTCCAAGAGTGAAAGGTCTTTATGGTGCACGCAAAAACTGGTGCCGGAGATGGTATCTTCTGCTTCCGAGCTTAGTGACCAGGCTCTGATGGTAACAGAGTATTTTAGTCTCTGGTTTTCTGTGGAATTAGAATTACCGTTTTACTACATCAGCAGACATGCCATGCCAGTCAAACTGGGGGGACGGATTATGGTGCTCCCATCAAGTGAGCATACAGGCAGACTGATGTGTCAGGAACCCAGTGTGATAGGGGCAGACTAAGGCAGGAAGCCCACAGGGAGCAGGACTTGGGTGATAGGAAGGGCGTTCTGGGAACATGGAAGTGCTTGATAATGTGCTGAGCTGTAGTGCAGCGCTCAGAAGGGTTTGGGAAAAGGTAGGCAAGGATGCCATGTCACAAATGGTCCAGGAGAGACAGGGAGCCAGTGGTGGGCTTGGAGCAGAGGAATGAAGGCAGATTTGCAAATTAGGAGATCACCCTGGTGGCCAAAGCCCTTTGAGGGCAGGACCCCAGTCTGGTTCAGGGCCAAGTGCGCAGCCCTTCGGGGGTTGGGTCAAGGTGGAATGCTCAGTGGGTAGTGAATGGATGTTGCATGCAAGCCTTTCTGTCCTTTGAGGCCCAGCTCACTGTCTCCCCCCACCTCCACCCCCTTGAAACAGCTCCACATATAACAGAGACCTTATTTAGAGGGATTTGGGTTTTTGTTTACACGATATTGCACATCTCACTCTCTTGGTCTTGTTTCCAACACTGCGTTGTTCACTGCAAGTGCCTAATAAATATCTGTCAAAACATGTTACAATAGAAATACGGGGAAGACAAGAACAAAAGGAAAAGCTAAGAAAGTCCTACAGGCAAGGTGATTGGTCACCAGAACCCTGTGTACCTCAGAGCATGTTGTTAAATGGAATATTTCCTTTTTGGAAAGTGCTTTCTGTATGTGTCCTCACATTTGTCCTCCATACACCTCTTCCCAAGTGAAAGTCATGCAAATTATCTTTAAAAAAAAAAACACATCTGACCCAGTGGAGTGAAGTAGTTTGTCCTTGGTAGCCAGCAGGAGGGTGGAAGTATTTACCTTGGCCGCTAGGTTGCATTTTTGTTTCCCTCCCATGATGCTCTCTTTTTCTCTCCATTCTAGCCCGGTTATCCTTCCCTCTTTAAACTTCTAGTACCGGTCGTCCCTACCCTTGGTTCATCCTTACTAAGGTGCTGCCTGTGGCATTGCTATACTGTGTGCTTATTTAGGACTGGCTCTTTCACCCTGGCTACATATGCCTGTATGCCAGGTACACTGAGAGTTCTCAGAGGGCCGGTGTGATTTGAGATTTGTCCATATGCCCTGAGTGTGATCCCCGTACCTAGTTACCCTTCTTCGAAGGAATGAGTTACTTCGCTCCTGAGGGCAGGACAGTGGCGGCTTTGTTGGCCACCATACCTAGCTAAATGTCTGGCTCGTAACAGATGGGGAGTGAATGTATGTCCTGGGCATGTGTAAGGGAGAGGAGTGTGGTTAGGGCATCTTGGGCATTACTGAAGGGTTGTGGGGGATTGCATTTGTCTCCTCCATGGTCTCCTGCCTGGTCGTGTTACTCTGCTCTTAGCCATCTGGAGGTTGGGCATCCTCTAGTTGCAGAGACTGTGGCCTCATCCCTAAGGTGTTATGGCAGAGTTTATTTAGGTTTTTAATAAGGTAACGACTTTTGCAAAGTGTTTCAGTTCAGGTGAGAAATTCTGGAATCTTGTATATGTGGGGAAGGGAGGAGGAAAGCTGGAGAAAGAAGGTAAACCCGGAAGGGAAGCCCGAGTGAATCATGGGCTGGTGTGCCATGTTGATTTAGATTTTGTGTTGCTGCTTACTCCTCACTTTAATTAGAATGGGGTATGTGTGCGTGTATGTGTGCGTCCGTCCATCCGTCTGCTTTGGACAGCTGTGCTTTCCTAAGGTCCACATTTATCTGAGCTTAGGGATACAGTTTCAGCGAGCGTGTCTGGCTTCAGGAAAAACAGCATGAACATGCCTGTAGCATATGGAAGTGCTGGGATTGTGGTCTGAGACCCTGGGCCCCATCAGAGGTATTCTCCACATTGTGTCTCAGTGTAACAATTGCCCATTAAATACCAGGCTGCCAGCATATGGTTTTCCCCAGCATCCTTCTTGTTTAGTGGAAACTTTAGCTGTGTGGTTAGAATATTTTCCCATCATTTAGCATCTCAGAATTAACATTTTGGAGAATTGTGCAATTAATGCTGAATGGCATATTTGCAGATTATTACAGAGACAGTTAAACCAGAGTCAGATCTGTAGCTGCTCTTTCTCATGATGGATAAGTGGTGGGTTAGGCAAAGGTAGGATTCCCGGGGCTCCCTCTGCGGATGCTGTAATTAAAGGGGGAAGTCTGGCGGAGTTGTTATCCCTGCTGTTAAGAGTGCAGATGGCTAACAGCCACATCACTGCGAGTTAGACCTTTTAAAGTCTTTTTTCTTTTTCTTTTATGACCCACCCTATATGTTCCAAGCATAGGGATGGATGCAGTGAAGAATTTTCTCATTAAAAGTAACAGCTTATTCCCACACTCATTCCTGGTTTTGGAATGAGAAACCTGTTTCCTTAGACTTGAGGAATTGCCTATCTGTTGTGGCTTAATAGAGCTTTTGGACGAGCGCGTCTGGTAGGCGAATTTTATAACCAATCAGTGTTCAAAGCAGATCCAACTGGTAGGCCTCCAGCTGGCAGCTCATGTCTCTCTCCCAATTTTACTGTTAATGAATTATTATTTAAGCCTCAAACACAGAACAGCCTGCTTCTATTGTCTTAGAGGAAGTGAGTGCTCCTGCTCCCCGGGGCCTGGCAGTTAGGAATCTCCTGGGCTGGAGGGAGTTCGGCAGCCCCGGTGAGGTGGGTGGGGGGAGACACACAAAGTGGGTAGAAAGCGTGAGGACGTTGCTCAGTGACTGGCATGACCCTGGGTGTCTGCAGTCGTGAGTGCATTTTGGCTCCATGGGGATCCATGCTGGAAAAGCGAATTGGCTTCACTCCTCATCACGTTCTCTTGTTTTCCCACAGGGAGTGGGGCCGGCCAGCAGAAACAGCGGGCTGCACAACATCACCTTCAGATATGACAGTAAGTAACTGGCTTGACCTCTGAAGAATGGGCCCTCTCAGTGATCTACAGCTTACACAGCCCTGCTTAATCAAGGACGCTGCAGGTCCTGGGGCTGAGGAATTTTCTGAATCTGCTCAGGTCTGTCAACAGAGCTAAAGTGGCTCAGTCTCAATTAAGCCACTCAAGAATTTGGGACAGGTCAAGTGTCTTCCATAGTGTTCACAGAAGTTGTGTATGGAGACCTCCCCTGATTTCCTCAGGACATAGCCATGTTCTTAAGAATAAACACAGATGTTGGGCCAGCCAAGTGGCTCCGTTGGTTAAGAGGTTGCTCAAGAGTGCGAGCTCTGAGCAACAGGGTCACCAGTTTGTTTCCCACATGGGCCAGTGAGCTGCGCCCGAGCTGAGCTGCCTCTAAGCTGGTGAGAGCGCGTGCTCTTAACAGCAAGGTTGCCGGTTCGACTCCCACATGGTATGGTGGACTACGGCTCCGCTCCCCCGCCACAACTAGATTGAAAGTGGTGACTGGACTCGGAGCTGAGCTTGCACCTTCCACCACTAAGATTGAAGGACAACAACTTGACTTGGAGCTGATGGGTCCTGGAAAAACACAATGTTCTCCTTCCTCAATTCCCCGACACTGTTCCCCTCCCCAATTCCCCAATAAATACACAGATGCCTGTAGGGCCCAGCAGGAGAAGCATGAGTGAAGCTCCCCAGATGTAGGATGCTAGGGAGTGGTAGGGACTGTGGCAAATTGGCTAAGCCCATGTCTGGTCAGAAAGGACCACTGGCTCCTCCATCTAAGAGGGGTGTGGCCTGGAGGAATTTCCCGAGAGTAGCCAGACGTGAGTTCCAAGAAGAGTGGCAAATTTGCATTTTTTTGTATAAACATTTTTAATATTAGCATTTCTTTAAAATTTTTCACAGAGTGGGCCAAGTGAACCTGTGTCCCAGTTTGAACCATGGGTCTCCAGTTGGCCTTCTCTGACGTAGGCCCAGGTTCCAGCCCTGGTTCCAGACCCATCAGCTGTGAACTATGACTTCTTCTCCAGGCCTCAGTTTTCTCGTGATATAAAACAAAGATTCATTTCTTCTTTAGCATCATTTTGAGGCTTAAACAAGGCAGTGCTTATAACTGCTCACCTCGGTAGCTGGCCTACACTCAGTAATTGATATGTTAAGATTAGAAGTCATTCCAACTGGAATTGGAATACAAGGACCTGTTTGACCCTTTCTCTCAAGGCTCTGTGACTTTTCCTGGCTGAATTGTTTTCTAAGGGCAGCGTGGGGTGCTTTTTCTAATTAAGCATATAGAACCCCCTCTAAGCATCTGCTTTCATGCCCAGGAAGGTAATTATATAGAATTGTGAGCATTTTAACCTTATGAGCTGTAATTTACACGTAAAAACGTTGACAAGAAGGAGCTTGACTTTTACTTAATGGCATTTGATTCATCTCTTGGAGAGGGTCGTGAGTCAATGTAAGAGGGGTAGGTGACATGAGGCCTCTAGAGTGATCACTGCTAACACAGGGCTTTCAACGTTAAGTGTACAATCTAGTTTGTTACATAGATACAACTATGTAAGTCAAATTCACACCCACAGTTGCTGATGTGGGGACTTTAAGTTAACCAGGGAGGACTTACATATGAAACTCAGACATTTCATGTTAGTGGCATGTGCATGTTCAGGGTAAATGCTGCTATGCTAATGAAGGATTTGCAAGTCCATGATGCTTAATTCTGCTAAGTAAAGACATGTGTAAGGGATCTTTGAGTTAGAAAGTTAATTTCTAATGTATGTTCTTGGTCCTGGCAGACCTTGTTGTATTACATTCAAGAGTTCAGAATTTTCTGGTCAGCTGCAAACAAGTATTTGCATCTCTAATTTAATTCGGGGTTTTGTGAAAGAGGATCTATACCTGGAAAACTTTAAAAAATCTTATTGTTCTCTTCATGGGAGTGGATATTTGCCCACGTGCCAATGCCTGTCTCTTGGTCATTATATTCTTTCTAATTCTTCATCATTTAATTAGAATTTAATTCACAACTTGAATTGACTCCTGAGACATCTGAAGTTCGGTTGCATTTTGGCAAAATGTCATTTGGGCATAATTTTTTTGTAACCAACATCCAAAACGTTAAAGAGTTGCTAATAATTGGATCCAGCCTGTGTAAAATACTTATTCATTGTTTTCCATTGAGAAAGATATTTCTGTGTTCCACAAGCAAGTTCCTGTTACTGCTCAGTTGACTGGTTACTAGCTCTGTTTGAAATAGCTAAGAACCAATTACCAAGTTTTCACTAAAAGTATTAAACTACAAAATCTTATTTTTCAATTCCTTTGCCATTTAATGTTACAAAGAAAGAAAACAACTCGCTATTGGGTCAAAACCAAATCTCACAGGTCTCCTTGCCTCCTTTCAGGCTGCATTTCCCATTTCTTCCTCAGGCTCTGAGGGGGTAATGCCTGAGTAGGTTGTAATACATTTTCTTAATTCTTAGGCTTTTTATTTGCATAATTGTATTTACAGAAACTCGGAGAGTGCTAATTTTGGCATCAGGAATGAACAAAGGGAAAAAAACCCATAATTTGCGCTTGATCATGCATCTTTTCCTAATTCTGTTTAAATCAGAGGTTTCTCTTTCATTATAGACCTCAATAAGTGAAAATGTTTAAATTTTACAAGTGTGATCGAATCTTGTCTTTTTTTTTTTTTTAATATATTGAGAAGCTGGTCTCAGCCAGGATTTTTGCAGGCTGAATACCTCTGATTCAGAATTTATTTTAGTAATAAGCTCTGTGCTAAAAATGGAATGGCGAGAGCCCTGCATGAACCCCCAAGGAGGCTGCTTTCTGTCCTGACCCTGGGCTGGTCAGCGGTGGAATCCTAAGCTACCCAGCTGATCTCTCTGGCTTCAGTTTCCTCTTTTGTACAATGTGGATATTAAACCAGATGTTTTAAAAAAAGTTTTTCCGTATTCTGAAATTCTCTTCTGCACCCAGAGAGCACTGAGGGTGAATTTTCATTAGAGCTAGAATTCAGTTTTATTAATTATTAACATCTTTCCAAGACAAGTAATATTGAAATTAGAGGTGGGTGTTTTTGAAGCAGAGGGAGTTTACAGAAGGGAGAAGTACAAGAAAGAGAGCCAGACACAAAGCAGTGGGGAGGATGGAGTTTTTGTTTTTGTTTGTTTGTTTTTTATTGGGGAACAGTGTGTTTTTCCAGGACCCATCAGCTCCAAATCAAGTAGTTGTTTCAATCTAGTTGTGAAGGGTGAAATTCAGTGGCCCATGTGGGGATCGAACCGGCAACCTTGGTGTTATGAGCCGGCGCTGTAACCACCTGAGCCAAATGGCTGCCCAGAGGATGGAGTTTTAAAAGGGAGGGCTGCATTTTAGTGCATGTGTGTTGTCCTTTATTAAGAAAATTTAAAAAGAGGAATATTATGTGCATGTTAAAAGGCTTTGAAGGCTACTCATTAGATGTTATTTAGCAGTTACTTCTGTGTGGTGGGAGATTATGGATGACCTCTAGATTTTTCTTGTATTCTTTTGTAATTTTCAATTACCCAGTGAACATTTTTCGTCATAAAAATGGCAAATGTGTGGTACAGTTTCAGGGGGAAAGTGTAGCAGACTCAGAACTTAGAAAATGCCTCTGAATGCTTCACCGCAAAGAAAAGCACCCCAAATTCAGAGGGGCAATGGGTGGGTTGATGGCAATTTGAAGACCTTTTGCAGCAGAGATTAAAGAGGCTTTTCAAGTGTAATCATTGAAAAAGAAATGGAGATGAAACAGTAAGAATTACGAGTTAGTGTCTGCGAGGGATGGTGGTGGTTCTCCCTGCATCCATGGCCAGAAGGGCCTGCGGCCATTCTCAGAAGTCCCAGCCCGTCTGGCTGGAAGCTTCTGGAAGCTTCTGAAAGCTTTTTAGGATCTTGCAGACTTTGAAGGTGTACTTAGCAATACCAGGTGGCACAGCTGCTCGCATGGTCATGGCTGCGTTGACAGGTGGCAGTGAATAATGTCCTCAGACAAAATCAAAGAGTCAGGGAGTTTTGTTTTTTGGGTGGGACTCTGGATTTGGTGGGTGTCTTTGATAACACATGGTGTTTGGGAACAAAAGTTTTACCTTTGAGGATGCTAGTTAACATTGACGGTGCTTTGCTTATTGCCACATCAGTCAGTATCTTTTGTAGCTACTAACTGGATTGTTTAACAGTCTTTCTGCGATTCTCTCAGGAGTTCCTTTTCCCTAGTCACCTTGCCCTCTAGGTTCCTTCTGAAAACCGCAGATTATTTAGCCATTGTTTTGTTTCAGTCACTCTCTAAGGCTGAAAACTGATTGAATTGATTAAATAATTATTGATTGGGGTAAAATACCATAATAGTAAAAAAGTTTGTGCTAGATCCATACAACAAATTCCTCCTGACACTGTCCTGGAATTTAACTCAAGTGGTGGTGGTGCTATAAATAAAACCTACTGCAGCATCTTACAGTTTTCTAGACAGCCAACCTTTGATGTCATATTTGGGCTTTTGAGGCACATGTCTTTAAATAGAATGGATTGGGCCACCTGCATACGTGCTTTGTGTAATTTGTCACTATGAACTTGGAAATAAAAAAATAAATGTTCAAATGTGGTTGTTCTTGTTCTCCCAACTCTGTAGACTGTACCACATACTTGAACCTGGTGGGGAAGCACGTGATTGCCGACGCCCAGAACATCACCATCAGTCAGTACTCTTGCCACGACCAAGTGGCAGTCACCATTCTTTGGTCCCCAGGGGCCCTCGGTAAGTGGTCAAAATGGAGTTCACCATGTGGCCTGGGTGGGCAGTGCCCAGTGCAAAGGTCCCAAACGTGACGGCCTCCAGGCGCCAGGCAGGTCTTGACACGAGAGTGACGTGGGCTGGCTTGGGCGCAGACACACTTTCCTGCTTCGTTTCACACAGGTACTGGCCGTGCACACAGCTTCATGCTGTGCCCTGTGGCTCACTGTTCCCTTGGCTATTATGGAGAGAGATGTGAGTTTGAAAAATACTAGTGAGTGAGAGTGAAAAATGGCACTGAGGTCTTGGCTTCTGTGTCCCAGCCTTTGTGGGAGCACGGGTGGCCCATCCAAGGACATGATCAGGCTTTGGCATCCGGCATTAGTGGTCTCTGGCCACACAGAGATGTGCAGGCCCTGCATTGGCACATTGTGTGAGTTTTCAGGAAAATCCCAGTTTTCATGAGAAACCATAAAATCAACCATTTTTTAAAGTTGGCAACAAATTGAATTTTTATTTAAACTGTGTGGGCTGAAAAAAATCAAACTAAAACAAAGAAACGGGAAAAAGCAAACCCATATTATCTGGCCAGATTCAGGTTAGAACCAAGGCTGCTTGTCCTCTTTAATGAATTGATGATACACAGGAGAGGAGGTGATAGTTGAGTGTGGGGCGTGGGGAGGGCCCATTTTTTTTAGATGGGCTTGGGTTTGAACCCAGAATCACAAGAGGCTTTTCAAACCTCAGTGAGCCCAAACTTCCCCATCTGTAAGTGTAGGTGACTGTGTCTTGGTTTGTTGTAAGAATTAAGAGACATACACAGAGTGTGTTTCTAGAGAGAGCTCTTAAAAAAATAACAGTGGCTATTGTTGTCATCATCAGAACTGATCCTTTGATGTTGCTACCCAATCTTAGAATTTTTAAAAATTCTGGCCAAGAGAAAAGTAAAATAAAGTCAGAATTTCTCAGTCTGAACAGGATAAATCTCCAAAGAACCAGAATGCAAGATAGGTAAGTGCAGAGAGAGGGAGAATGGGTTAGACCCATGGGCCTGACTCACGTATCCATGTAAATACTGCTGGGTCTGAATGCAGTGGGTTTTCTAAAAATAACATCTTAACATTTAAAGATAAAAACATTCTCTGTGGATAAAAGGGAAGTGGTCATTCCACATAAGACTAAATGGCTAAGGGGCTGGCCTAACGAACTGCAGGCTCCCTCTTTAGAATGAAAGTAGGAAATATGAGCTGGTGGTAGGAAAACCAGCGTGTGGAACAGTGAGGCAGAAGGTTGTGCTTTTCCTGCTAGATGGGAGTGGATGGGGATGGCTGGACAGCTTCTGTCCGTTTCTGTGAGGGTCTATCCAGGAAACTCCCTGGGAGACAGAAAAACATATGGGTTAAGAGCACTCTGGGTTTGAATCCTACCTCTGCCAGCTGTAATAATTCCTCTATGACTCTCAAGTCATTTATTATCTCTACACCTCAGTTTCCTCATTTATAAAATAGGGATAATAATACCTTCTTTCTGTGGTTGTTGGGAGGGTATTATGAGTTAAGTGATGGGAAGGAGTTAATAAGCTCCTTTATGAGAAGCTGCCCTATAAAATTGCTAAACATTATGTTACTACAAGCTGTTAATAGTATTGTGATAAAGGCTTTGCTGGGATTAAGATTTACATTTGCCGCCTTTCCCCATACTCCCAGACTTGGTGTAGTGATTTTTAGGCAGGTCTTTTAAAACTAAGGACTAGAGCCACCCACTCTCACCCCAGCTGATGAATTTTTATGTAATTGTGAAATGTACAGTCTTTAATCATATTAATCACCTGGCTTTTGTAAAAACAGTAGTTCTGGGGACATTGCATGAATTAAATCTTAGTATAAATAATGATTTGTTCAAAAATCTTGTTTTGGATCTTAAAAGGCAAGTTCCTGTGAGATCTACTAAATAGCTGCTGGTCAAAGCCCTGTTGGCTATTGGTCAGCTGGCTGCCACCCCATAGGAAGCTGTGTACTTGAAATCCAACGTGGCAGAGTCAGCACCTGCACACTCTATACACTCTGAACCCCCGAAACATGAAGCTCTGCTTGCTGCTGCTTTGCCCCGCCCACCATAAAATGTGTGCCCTTGATCAACTCTACAGGATTGGAGAACCTATGCAAAGGAGACAAGATTTCCCTGGTCTTTACCATTCGTAATTTTCCCACCTGGTTAATTGCATCCTGTGTAATTACTTTGGCCCTGGGAGGGGAAGGGTTGAAAATGTCTCTCCATCTAGTGTTCAGAAAGAATGCGAAATCGATACCGTGCCAATTGAGGCCGGCTTAGGGGATCTCCAGCTGCAGTTGGACCAATCCAGTCTCCATGGGATACAGAGCCCTGGTCCTGGCTCTCGTGGCCATCAGAGCTTAATCCTTTTGAAAGCATCTAGTCGGACGTGCAGCGGGGGAAGCTCAGGTGGCAGGAGGCTGGGCCGGCGTCTTTCAGCGGCGCTGTGGGCATCTCGGGGCCTCTGAGTGCTGTATGAAGAGCACACACTGGGCAGCTCTTGGGTGTCTGCCTTTCAGGCATGATTAGAGCAAGAACCGCTTTGTCAATCCCATAGGCATTCTCCTCAGCTATTTAATCTCAAGCCTCGGAACCCCTTGGGTGCAGACGCACACTTTGTTGGAAATTTTGTACGTTGCTTATTGAAACATGCCTGCAAATGTAGAACTAAAACTTAAAGGGGAAACACGGTTTGGTGGGAGTCCCTAGTCAGCATGGGGAATTATCATCAACTGAATAAACCCTGTTTAATGACCTAGAAGTTATATATTGCACTGCAGATTTCTACGATCGATTGTGACTTGAGTCTAAATATTTGAGCCTAAATGCCCCAAAAGAAATGGGCATTTGTAAAATGGCTGGCTGGATTAGAGGTTAATTAATTAGTAATGGCATGACGGAGAAAATCACCTGGTCGGTACCAGAGGAATGCAGGGTATGTGTTTTTCCTCTCTGTAAACTCAGAGATTCCGGCCAGAGTAAGAATTCCTTTAACTCTGCCGTGTGTAGGTGGAGAGGATGATAATCTTGGAGGAAGGCAAGTGTGTTCAAAAGTAATTAAGTCCACTTTTTAATAAAAGCATTCTGCTTTGATTAGGCATCGAATTCCTAAAAGGATTTCGGGTAATACTGGAGGAGCTGAAGTCCGAGGGGAGACAGTGCCAGCAACTGATTCTAAAGGACCCAAAGCAGCTCAACAGTAGCTTCAAAAGAACTGTAAGCCACACGCGGGGAATGTGCCCCTGAAGACACACCATTGTTCAGGGGGTCTGAATGGTCTATTGAAAGTCTTTGAAACTGGAGAAGGAGGGGCTGTGGGGTCCACCCCGCCTGCCAAGGTGGGTGAGAATGGCAGGCAGCATCGTGAGGCTGCTCCACACTCCCTGAGAAGCCCTCCAGCACCTCTCCCTGGTAAACACACCTCTCGGGTTACATGCTGGATGACATCCTGGAAGGTGGCCTTGTGTTCTCAGGAGTGCATGTGGGCGCCTCCCCACCATCTTCAAGGGTCAGTGTTAACAGGCTCTGGCTTCCTTGACAAAGAACAGACAGCATTGTTGATCTTCATTTTCAGTGAGGGAGCCAAACCTAAACTTGATCCAGAAAATAGACCTGACTTCATCCTTTGCTGGGATACGTCCCCCAGCTCTGGAACTGTGTCTGGGTGACCGTCCAGGAGGCCTGAAGCTCTCTTGGGTAGGTGGAGAGGTGGGTAATTTCCCCATGACGTCACCTGTGTGTTCGTTTCCTTTTAGGGAATGGAATCTCAACCTTTCCTGAATATGAAGTTTGAGACGGATTACTTTGTAAAGATTGTCCCTTTTCCTTCCATTAAAAATGAAAGCAATTATCACCCTTTCTTCTTTAGAACACGAGGTGAGTGTGGTTTTCCCTGCCTGGTTTCCATAGGGAGACTTGTGCTTTTAATTTTAGACAGAGATGTGTTCAAGAGCCCACCAAATAGTGGTATGAAACCGTCATGGTGAGGAGAAAAGCATCCAGAAAAAGTATCCATAAAAGCAACTTTTAGAATTAAGATTTGGCCCAGGAAGTGTTAATGTAACCAGAGACACCCTTTCCTGGTTTGTTCTAGAGCAGCAGACATGATGGTTAATTTTTTTTTTTTAGAGGTGCTGTTAGAAGGTCATGTATGAAAACCATTTGATTGAAAAAACAGGAATAAAAAAGTATAAGTTGATTTTGGGGTGAAGAGTAGATCTGAAACGATTCCATCTTTTAGCTGTCATCAGGAGGGTAGCCTCTGTGAGTGACTGCCTGTTATTTTCAAGATTAGATTAAGAAAATTAAGCAGCATTTCTGAGATCCCCTCTTTCTACTTATTTATTTAATATCTATGTACCAGGCCCTGTTTTAAATGCTTTCCAAATATTAACTCAGTTTACCCCCATGACAAGCCTACAAAGAATTTAATCTTACCATCTCGGTCATTAGATGTAGAATCACACACAGAGAGGTCAAGGGGCTTTCTGGGGGCTGGGATTTGAACCCCAGAAGTCTGACTCTGGAGTCCAAAACACCAGCCATGCTGGGTTCCCTTTAATGCCTGGCTCTCCGTTTCCTTCTGTTTTGCATACAGTGTCTCTTTATCTTCCTGAATCGTTGCTTTCAGATTTGGTGTCTAGGCACCCTGAAACCTGCAGCAGTTCCCTCTTCCCTTCCTAGTCATCTTTCTGTCTGCAGTTCCAGGCCGTGGATGGGCAGCATTCAGTCCAATCCAACATCCCCTCCTATGTGGGCTGGTTGTGGCCCTCATCCTCTGTGATGTTGTTATTCTCATGCTGGCCTACAACAGTGTTTCCCTTTGCAGAATTCTTATTCTGGTTGTTTCCTTTTTGTCTTTTTTTTAAAGCTGTAGTTGTTTTCTATGCAGCAGTTATTTTATAACAATTGGTCTCATTTTCTTAATTAAAATAAGATTCCATAGGGCAAAGGCCATGCGCATTTTACAAACATCTCTTGAAGCCTTACAGACAACAACTAGATAGAGGATTCAGAAAATGGGTTAATGAAAAGCTTGCCTACATCACACCTTGCATGAGTTAAGATTAATTTTTCCCAACGGAATCAGTGTGTTCACCTGGGTATGAGGCGGGGGCAGGAGGTGCATTTGTCACCATGATGCTGTGACCTCAAAGGTGCCTTCAGGTTCCTTGGCATTATATGGACAATTTCCAGAGGGTTCTCTCTGGGCTAGCAACACGGCATGCTGGACTAGCTGTTGGGCCTCTCTCATTGTGTTTTCATCACATTTAAATCATGTCTCAGAGCTACTGGCCTTGCTGTCTGGTTTTCAGTGCTGGTTCTACTCCTTAGTATAATAGATGCCTGGATGTCATTTTTAGACTCCATCAAAAGGATTTTAAATTAGAATGCTAGTGAAGGTTACAATAACCCCAGGACCATTATTAACAGGCTTGCCCCGAAATTCTCCTGTGCCTACACAGCTCCACAGTCAGACGGGGACCGGCATCATTTCTGTTTACAGCTCAAACAGATCTCCCTTGTGGCAGCGCATGAACACAGTCCCGCTGCCCTTGGCCGCTGGCCTTGAAACTGTGTAATGCTTGACAACCTTTTAAAATCTGGTCGACTTTATACTGTTTTCATTTATTTGGCATAAAATAAACTGCATTAATGCTTTTATATTGTGCAAGTTAAATTTTCATAGGACACCACTGTGCGGTACTGAAAATCATTGTCAAGTTGATGTATTTTATACTCTTCCCAGCAGCACCCATTGCCATATATTTATATTTTATGGACTTGTTGAACAAAGAAAATGTCGAACTGCCCTATAACTAAAAATATGCATCTCTCTTAACAGCCTGTGACCTGTTGTTACAGCCAGACAACCTGGCCTGTAAACCCTGTAAGTATCACTATCTTTGTCTCAAAGTGTTGCCACGCTTGTAGTATTGGGTGGCCTCAGGGTATTCACCTTGGGTCCTTTCTCCTTCCAGTCTGGAAGCCTCGAAGCCTAAATATCACCCAGCATGGTTCGGACATGCAGGTATCCTTCGACCATGCGCCACACACCTTTGGCTTCCGTTTCTTCTATCTGCATTACAAGCTCAAGCATGAAGGACCATTCAAACGAAAGACCTGTAAACAGGTGAGCTGCTAGGTATACATAAAGGAACACTACATGTTTTAAAGTGACCCCTGAGTCTCTGGAGTGTGGATGGTTCAATGTGACCATTAGGTGATGTAGCCTGGTAAAAACATTACCAAGGAACCAAAATAAGTCTTGCTAGTTTGTTCTTCTGTATTTCAGACATTAATCAGATGCTCACTGTGTAGCAATCAACAAGCTTTATGCTCACTGAATCCTTATAACCCTGTGAAGCAGAGGCTGCTGTCATCCCCACTTAACAGATAGAAAACCTGAGGCTCAAGGAGGTCACCTGGCTTGCTCAAGGTCACACAGCTAGCAAGTAGAAAAACCACATCTAGGAGCCACTCCACTAGCATTTCAGTGGCTGCTGATTTTGCACATAGGCCAAGGTTAAGTAGAAACTTGGTAACCAAGTTCTTAAACTGGAGGTGGTCAGAGGAAGTGGTAAACATTTCGTGGAAGTTTACAGGACTGCTAGATCACCCCCTAGGAACACCAAGAGAGGTTTTTAGTGGGGGGGTGGGGGAAAGTGGGGGCAGGGGTGCGACCATGACACACACCAGTGCCTTCCTGGACATGCTCCCGTGGGTGTTGAGGTTTGCTTTCCTGCTGGCTCTCCTTTATCATTGACCTTCTTTGACCTTAAAATACGTACAAACACAGACAGCTAATTTCTTCTATTTTTATTAAGTAAAGGATAGTCTAACTATTGGGTTGTCGGGAAAGTCACGACACATTTTTGCAACAGAAAACATAGAAAAAAAAAAAAGTCATGACTTTTCCGACATCTCAATACATAGTTTCCTTGTCTTCAAATCAAATATTCCTGCTGAGGGCGCCACCACCAGCTAAATGTACAATATGGACTCCCCTGCGACCGTGGCAGATAAATACAGTTGCTTTCTGATCTGATTGACATGTTCTGAAAACGTGATTAAGACTGGTGCAAGTCCCTTTTAGCTCTGGGGAAAGAGAAGGGTCCTGATGACTTTTATCCAAGAAGCAAGTTTTAAAAGTGTTGTTTGTTTCTTCACAGGAGCAAAATACAGAGACAACCAGCTGCCTCCTTCAAAATGTATCTCCAGGTGATTATGTAATTGAGGTATGTATAACTCAAGAAAGCCCTATTATTAATTCTACAGAATGAATCCAGTTCATTTAGAATGCCAACTGTTTGCAACACTTCAATTTCAAGCCATTGAAGGTGTGCACACTTATATTTTTACATGGTCTTTAACATGCTTTTTAAAAAGTTTATGTAAAATTCATCTTAGATTTTTTTCATTAATATTTCAAATAAATATTTTTATGTGACCATAAAGTCCATAGAACCATGATTTTAAATTTCTATATAGTATTCCTTTATACTTAACAAAGATGTATTTTGAAAATTTTAGCTTCTAAAAAGTTTTTAGTGGGCTGGTCGAGTGGCTCAGTTGGTTAAGAGCTTGCTCAAGAGTGTAAGCTCTGAGCAACAGCGGTTCAATTCCTGGCCTGAGCTGAGCTGCCGCTGAGCTGCCAACAGGTGGCAGGATGGCTCAGCTTAAAAAAAAAGTTTTTAGTAATAAAACAGTGAAGCAAAAGTTATACCTATTATATATGCCTGTACTTCTCTAGATTTCTGCTGACATTCTTTTGTATAAATGCACATGAGGCCTAAGTACCACTTTAAAAGCACGTACATGATATATACTTTTTCTTTTTATTTTTTTTGTAGATTTATTTTCCAGTATCAAAAATACTACAAAATTAGGAGTAAAACAAAACTATAAAGGGAAATTAAAAACTTGTCCCTAGCCTTCCTGTTCAAAGACACCCAACATGTCTTAACATTTTGTTAGAAACACCTAGTTCTTGAGCATTACTCGGTAGCAATTTTGAACAGACACACTCTCTTAAAACATTAGGAGGCTGAGTAAAATCAGTGGTCAGATGCCATTTCAATTGCAAGTTGTTAGAACGTGGAGCTCACTAGCTGATTTCATCAACGAATAAACAACCTTTGGTTCGGGACAGGAAGCGTGATGAAGCTGGGAGTTCAGAGCTGGTAAAGCAGAGACATATCTGACTGTTAATCTGGTCTCGGCTTGTAAATGATCCCAGGCAGCTGCTCTTCTCTCCCGTTCTCCTTTGTCCTGGCCCACACGGCCCACAGATGGAAAAAAGAGTGACATCTATCGCGATACTATCACTTAAGAAATAATAATAATAATACAGCATCCTCTGTTTTGCAGCTGGTGGATGACACCAATACAACGAGAAAAGTGATGCATTATGCCTTAAAACCGGGTAAGATTTTTTTTTTTTTCGTTTGTTTGAAATGTTGGCTCTGGACTACAGTTGACCAAGATATCATGATTTACGCAAACAAAACCCAACAACACTTGAGTTCCTCTCTCTAGGAATGTTCCATCACATCTGACTTTCCTTCCACCCTAATATTGATACCTGGGAGATCAAAGCCAGGGTGGAGTGTGTGTAGGTAGAACTAAGTAAATAGTTGTCCTCAGAAGAGACATGGTGGTGAGAGGGGGAGGTCTCCTTAGGCTAAATTCCACTTAAAGGTATTTACTCTCCCAGCAGACTGTTAAATTGTTTCTTCAAAATTAATCCTTTTATAGTTACCAAACCAGCACCAGAGAAGGGGTCCTAGAACTCATTATGTGGCTTATGTTGAAAAAAATTATTTCTCTTTGAATCTGTTATGCTGCTTAAGTTTGAAAGCCTTCCCTTTGAAATTTCCCAGTGCATTCCCCATGGGCTGGGCCCATCCGAGCTGTTGCCATTACTGTGCCATTGGTCGTCATATCGGCATTTGCTACACTCTTCACTGTGATGTGCCGCAAGAAGCAACAAGGTATATCTGTGTGGTGTGTCCCCTGCAGCCGGTAGGGCTGGGGTCTCCTGCAGAAGGAGACTAGAGTGCTTGATCCCTTCAGGTGGGTGTCTGGGAAGCCACCTAGCTTCTGTAGTCAGCTCCCAGCTACTGTACTTCACAGAATTAAAATATTTGTAACCTCAGGAACCCACTAAAAGAACAGGCATAATTCTAGTCTCAAACTTGGGATAGTAAATTCAAGAGTTTCAAGGAAGTCTAAAGCTATGAGTAAGGGTAAATGTAGGGCTTGATCACTTATAAAAGTCAGGCGACAGGGGGGAACCTTCTGGGAAGCTGGATATGTTCTGTATCTTGAACCGAGTGGCGGTTACATAGGTGTATACTTAGATCAGACTTTGAGATGTACTGGGAAGATAGATGCACTTTACCTGTGTAAGCTATACCTCAGAAAAAAGGTGGTTTTTATGTTTAAAGGTCTGCTCTGCCAACGCTAATTGGTCTAGTTGGTGCACGTGGTAGCAAGAACTGGTCTGGGTGCTTCCTGCCGATAGGGCAGTCCCTACAGTATTCTTGGCTTGCCCGAGGTAAATTTGAGGTGAAGAACAAATTTCGGCCATTTGTTGTTCCGCTGGAGAAATCGGCTGTCCCATTCTCGTGGTAGGCGGAGTTGAGAAAGTGGACATGTCACCTGTTGTTTCTTGAAGATAGCATTAGGTCCCAAGTCTTAGGGAACAGGATAAAGCATTGCTCATAGGTATCAATCCTATCTTCTTTTCCAATTTAGAAAATATATATTCACATTTAGATGAAGAGAGTTCTGAGTCCTCCACCTACAGCACAGCACTCCCCCGAGAGAGGCTGCGGCCACGGCCGAAGGTCTTCCTTTGCTATTCCAGTAAGGATGGCCAGAATCACATGAACGTCGTCCAGTGCTTTGCCTACTTCCTCCAAGACTTCTGTGGCTGCGAGGTGAGGAATCCAGTCCCTTCTCTTACCTTGGGTGGACACATGCTCTGCACTTGCCTGCCTGCCTTTGTCCCTGCCTCCAGGCCCCCTTCAGTGACACCTGCCCTCCAGCACTGCCTGGCTTCCAAACGGGGTGTGTGTGTGTGTGTGTGTGTGTGTGTGTGTGTGTGTGTCAGCCTGGCACTCTCCTTTCAGCCTTTCCTCCCCATCACCAGCAGTAAGTGTTTCCTGATACTTAGTTTTAACCCTGACTCACCCCTGCTCAACTCTTCGAGTCGCTCCCACCTGGTAGGAAGTTGCATGGGGGAAATGGCAGCTGCCCTGGGAGCCTGAAGTGGGGGTGGGGAGACGTGGGCACTCAGCATGTCCTGCTGAGCATTGGAGGGTCAAAGAGAGAATGGCAGGTAAAGCAGCGGGGTTAACAGTTCTTTGGGGGAGCTTTGCTAAAAAGGGAAAATAGTAATGGGTCAAGTGCTCAAAGGATCTCTCTGGGTTTCTTACCTGTTCTCTTAAGCTATTAGTATGTAGCTTTTCTCTAATGTTGTGGTGCTAATTTTATAATGAAGTCTGAAGCTCTCATGGAGGGCACATTGTTTCTTACAAATGCAAGAATTGTACAATAATTGTGTGGTTGGGTTTGAAGCTGCCTACTGATGAGTGTCTCAGAATCTCTCCACGTGGTGAGGCTGCCCCCTAGTGTCAATGAAATGTACTTACATGGCTGGCCCAGTTTCCCAGTGTTTGAAGGGGGAGAGGTAGGCCTATCAGCACAAATGCTGAAAAACTGCAAACTCTAGTGGGTGCCACATGCCGTCTTCAGATACAGACAACCCAGTTTGCTCTACTAGTAGGTAGCCTCAGGGGAAAAAGGTCTTCCTGTTATGTGTGTAATACTGCAGGAAATTTGGAAACTAGAAAAGGATGACAAAAAATGGCCTGTAATCTCAACCTAGAGAAAAGAGGAACGAACCATGGTTAATATTTGGTATATTTTCTTCCAGTCTTTCTCTACATAGATGAACTCATACATACAGTTTTTCATTTTGGGTAGATTGGAATTACTTTTTCTGTCTCTTTAGTAACTTTTACACAATTAGCAGTTTTATTTAAACTGTAATTTTAAATAGCCACCAGACCCATAAAGTTAGTTATTTCGAATTGTTAAATGTTTTTGTAGTTCAATTTTGCCTCATTTCTGATGATTTTCCAAAGACAGATGCCTAAAAATGGAATTGCTGGATCAAAGATAGGAACAGTTTTTTATTTTTTAATTTTTTTTCATATTTTTTTTTTAAATTGGGGAATTGGGGGATGGGAACAGTGCTGGGGAATTGGGGGAAGGGGAACAGACAAGTTGCTGTCCTTTTGTTCTTCGGTCTAGTTGTGGAGGATGTTGCTTCTAGTTGTGGAGGACGTTGGCCCAAGTTGACACCATCATTACGCTCTTCCCGGGCGAGGCAGATCAGTCACTGGCTTCTGGAGCTGCGGCTGCTGGCCACTCACGCTGGCTGCTGGCTACACACGGTAGCTCATGACAACCCACTGCAGCAGGGGCTTCAGCCTACGCCGTCACCGGCGACTCACGGCAGCCCAGCTCCAGGTTGAGCTGTTGTTCAGCATCTCAGCTGTAGAGGGCAGCGTCACTAGCTCTCATATGTGGGATCCGAACCGGGGTCCTCTGGCATCCCAAGCGAGTTCTTAACCATCGCGCCACTCGGCCGGCCCTAGGAACAGTTTTTTAAATGCTTGGTATATAATCTCAATTAGTTTTTAGAATGTATAGTGTTAGGAAGAATTAGGGCAAGTGTAAGACAATTCAGGATTATTTTCAGCAAGTGGATGGATATTGGGGTCTTTCTTCCCTTTGGTCAAAGTCATTTGAGACCTTCTTTCTCCTTAACCGACTGTGGCTGCCATGTTTGGGCATGGCTGTTGGGAATTAGTTTCTGAACTACAAAAGGAAAGAGGCCAATATAATTGCCAAGAGATGATTTCAGCAGAATCAGATGAAAATGGCCTGAAAGATGCAGCCCTCTGAGGGGGCCTTGTTTTCTTTCCCTCCCCCCTGCCCCCAAACTCCCTACCAGACCCCCCTAGGGGTTAAGCCTTTTAGGGATGTAACCCTGTAGACCTCTGTGAAGTCACAGTGGAAGGTGCCAGTTGTTCCGAGTGAGCTAACCAGATGGCTGTGTTACTGCAGCTCACTACTGCCCTCTTCTCCAGCCACTGACCAAAAGTAAACAGCATGGCTAAACCGGGGCTTTCCGAGTGGCTGGGAAGGTCCTCTTTGTCAGTCACACTTTCTGGATGTGGCTGGACAGCATTGTGGGCAACTCTGGCATCCAGACCTGAGCCCCATTTCTCAATCAGCGTTGGGGTCCCTCACCCACGTCCTTCCATCATCGCCTCCCAGCTTTCTCTCTGGGACCTGTCCCCCCCATCCAGGCAGCCTTACTCATCAGATAGACCAACCTCAGTGCCCCCGTTTGCTGTGCTCTGCACTGCACTTTAAGTACCTTGAGGGCCTCACGTGTGATATGTGACTTAGGCAGGTGACTAGAAGTGCTGTGATTCTTCTGTCTATTCACTTGTAGGGTGGGAGTGGTAATGATCCCATTTATGCTAAAATGAGGGCATGATGCAGAGGGCCTGGTGTGTGACCCCCCGTCACCCGCGGAATGTTAGCTGTCCCTCAGAGCCAGTAACTTAAAGCTCCCCATAGCAGTACTAATAGTGATTAAGGGAGAGATGGTGTGCCCTTCTTGTAATCGTCTCGTTCTTGTTACTCAAGCCTCCAGGCTTGTATAGGTGAGTGAGGGTCCAGGTTCTCTTTCCAGGTGGCTCTGGACCTGTGGGAAGACTTCAGCCTCTGCAGAGAAGGGCAGAGAGAATGGGTCATCCAGAAGATCCACGAGTCCCAGTTCATCATCGTGGTGTGTTCCAAAGGCATGAAGTACTTTGTGGACAAGAAGAACTACAAGCACAAAGGAGGCGGCCGCGGCTCGGGGAAAGGAGAGCTCTTCCTGGTGGCTGTGGCAGCCATCGCCGAAAAGCTCCGCCAGGCCAAGCAGAGCTCGTCTGCGGCGCTCAGCAAGTTCATCGCCGTCTACTTCGATTATTCCTGCGAGGGAGATGTTCCTGGCATCCTGGACCTGAGCACCAAGTACAAACTCATGGACAACCTTCCCCAGCTCTGCTCCCACCTGCATTCCGGAGACCACAGCCTCCCAGAGCCTGGGCAGCGCCCCGGACACGTCAGCAGGAGGAACTACTTCCGGAGCAAGTCAGGCCGGTCCCTGTACGTCGCCATTTGCAACATGCACCAATTTATCGACGAGGAGCCTGACTGGTTTGAGAAGCAGTTCGTTCCCTTCCATCCTCCCCCACTTCACTACCGGGAGCCAGTTTTGGAGAAGTTTGACTCAGGCTTGGTTTTAAATGATGTCATGTGCAAACCAGGGCCCGACAGCGATTTCTGCCTCAAGGCCGAGGCAGTCGTCCCTGGGGCACCGGCCGACCCGCACTTGGAGGGGCAGCAGCTCGGCCTGGATGAAGACATGGAAGCCGGGCCCAGCCCGGGAGGCAGCTCGGTCCTGCAGCCGCTGCTGCACGCGGTGAAAGCTGTCAGCCCCTTGGGCATGCCGCGGGACTCAGGCATCTACGACTCATCCGTGCCCTCCTCCGAGTTATCTCTGCCTCTGATGGAAGGACTCTCGGTGGATCAAACGGAAACGTCCTCGCTGACAGAGAGCGTGTCGTCCTCCTCAGGCCTGGGTAAGGCGCGGGTTGCCCAGAGTGCCGGTGGGTCGATTCCAGTGCAGGCCGCAGCCTTTGTTAATAATTCCGAAACCCTTGAAAGCGTTTTTCTAATTTGGGTGCAAACTTATTTGGCAGTGAAACCTGGTGGGGAGTAGCGACGCCATTGCCAGTCTCAGTTTATCTAGGTAATGGGAGTGTGCACATGTGTAAGCTGATGCCAAAGTACAGTGAGCTGCCCAGTTCCATGTTATGTAATATACAGTGTGTGCGTTATATCACCTTCCTTAGCTCCAGAAACATCTGAATACCAAAATGCTTTGGGTCCCAAGGTGTTGGATGAGGGTCTCTGCACCTGTATCTTGGTTGGGGCTTACAATGTTCACTACCCCCAACCCTCCCAATGTCTTCAAAGCCACATCTCTTGAACCTGGGGTTCACAGTATTCTCTCCATCATAGCACAGGCTCCTGGTAGGGCTCTGTAGGAGGCCCTGCTTCCTCAGGGAGCCCCTGGAGGACATTGTGTCAGGATGCCCCTTACTGTGCTTGTGACTAGTTGGAACCTTGCATGCAAACCCCTGGCCTTCAACTAAGGGAACTAGAACCTGATAACAGCATGAGAGTGCCCATCTTGAGCTGTTTGGGATGCCTGCCTCACTTATGCAAAGCCTCGTAGTCCAAACCCAGAGCCTGCCACATTCTGGCCTGAGTGCCTCGCCCAGTGAGTTGCAATGATGTGTGACTCCGCCCTCTTTTCTTTCCTTAGGTGAGGAGGACCCTCCTGCTCTTCCGTCAAAGCTCCTCACCTCTGGGGTGTGTAAAGCAGAACCTGGTTGCTGCAGCTACACTGGTGAACTCCATGCAGTCGCTCCTTTGTAACGAAATGGAAGAGCCTAAGCATTGCCACTTTAGCTGCCGCCTCTCTCTGGTTCCCCAGCTCATCTCTCTGGTTGCGTGGCCCACCTGCAGCTGAGGTCTCCTACAAGGATATTTTGAGTGAAATTCGTGCCAGTACTTGCTCTCCTTGCCCCTACCTTTTACCAGATATCTTGGCAAAGTCTCCAGTTTTCTAAAACCATATGGAGCTCTGAAAGGCATGTCCATAAGATCTGACAGAAGCTTGCCATGTTAGGTCAGACCTTGGATTAGAGCCAATTCTGGGAGGTAGGGAGGAAACGTAAAGAAATAGAAAAATACTTGCACTGATCCTTCAGACTTAATTTATCTCTGCAAACTTTGCCTATTCACCGTTGGCTACTTCAGTTTGAAATGCTTTGTAGAGAAAGCACTTTTAATGCTATTGCAGCCACAGAAATCAAGTGCCAGTCTATCTGGAATCCGTGTCATTACAGATGATGCTCCCGTTGGTTTTTGGTGTAGAACTTATGATGGCCGTGGCTGCTAAAAAAGCTCTAAGTCAAGGTCAAGAAGGTGACTGAGTATACGCTCACCACTCATAGAACAAGTCTTATGTATTGGTGGGAAGCATGGCTGGCTGAGGTGGGGGCTGCGGGGCCAGGCTGACTGTGTAGACCATTCTTTCTGAGATGGGTTGGTCACCATGCAAAGGCACCAGAGCTCAGCATCCAGGGCCACCGCTTGGTGTAAGTAGGCATCCCATGAGAGTCAGCTCTGCCTGCCAGACTTCCCTGGGTTACATTTTCTGAGCTGCATCTCAGATGTCAGTGCCTGGAAGTTTGAGAGACTGACATACATCTGGACTGTAGTACTGGAATTTGCAGTTCACGTGTCAGTTGGCCTCTGGTCTAAAGTTGTGTCCAGAATATTAGGGACCAGAATCCACTGAAATGTGGCAGTGTGTGGAGGTGGTGGCCGATTAATCTGCTGAACTGGTTTGGACTGATGACAAACCTCTTTTTAAGAAGGTGAAAACGAGGGGACTGTCACAAAAATGAATGTGCTTTTCGAATATTGTCTGAAGAAGACATGGGATCGGAAATCATTAAATTCTTGAGTTTTAAAGCACTCCCCCACAACCCAGCCTGTGAATCATGTTTCATTTTGTATTTTTGTGGTACTTTTCCAATGAAAGATTTGCCTCTTGTGCTCCATCCTACAAAAAAACAACAACAGGTATTTAGAACTTAGGAGAAAATAATTTGCTTTAAAAAGGAAAAGTGAATGTTCTGTTTTTATGAATGACTTCTCTAGAGAATTTGTGTTTCCAAAGGGAAAACAGTTGTTCCCTTCTCCTCCCCATACCTGTGAGGGGGTGTGAGCATCTTTTTCTACCTTTTCTGTAGGTGCTGTTGGATTTGGCACTCTGTGTTCTCAGCACTCACACCGGGGGCCATGGTTTGGACTCCTTGAGCAAATAGGAACAATATTACGGGCAACACTGAGAAACATCCCGAGGAGGGGTGGAACGTGGGAGGTGGGATGGGGTAGGACTTCTCCTTCCGAGCACATGCTGGGCAGGTGGGGAAGGGAAAGTTTGCACCCCTCCTGGAAAGAAGAGGTTTGTGTGTATTTTTGATGCAAATGCCACACTCTCTGCTCTGTAAAGGCAGCTGGCAGCTTCTTGGGAGAAGAACGTGCTCGTCTGTTCTCTGGCATCGAGTTTCCTGCAGCTGCTCTGAGGGAAAGACAAGTGAGCAGCAAAGCTGCCTCCCCCATAAAACCAGGCATCTTGTTGGAGAAGAGATGTTCCATGTTGTCACCGTGGATTAGAGGACGAGCACAGAGTCCTTGCCCACAGTGACGGTCCTATCATCCTGTCCTCGGCGTGCATTCTGTGAAGGGGCTGATCTGTCCAAACTTGCCACCATATGCAAATTCACTTTGGAGCATTATCAGAGAAATTTCCTATTGAAGCCGAGAAGTGGTGCGTGCCCCAAAGGAACCATTACATTAGGAGCCACTTTTACGATAGATACTCAGCTTTGCGTGTGAAATGAGGCATCTCTGAGGAAGTGGCCCCAAGAATGGCATGGAGGACTGGGGCAGGGGAACATCGACTGGGCTTTATGAGCTTGGGCAGAGAGCTTTCATTTACTATGAAAATGGAAGGAAAAAAGTGCTAGTCCAAAAATCAGGTAATTTTTTAGTTTGAATTTAGGGTTTGGGTACTTACTTTGAAATGTTAATGTTTGTGGTGTTCAACAAAATCAAACTGTTGTACCAAGTAATGAAACCACAGGATGAATGCCTAACTCAGAATAAGTTGAGAAGGCCAAGTGCCTGGTTTTGTCTTAATAGTTTCACTTTTTTTTTTTTTTCACCGTTCCCATCTCATGCTGGAAATGGGAATAGCTGCCTTGTAGACTAAGACAAAACATCTGTTTTAAGAAAACCTCCATTTTTTTTTTACTTAACACGTTTTCCAGGCTGTGGAAATGATAAGACAGAATTCAGATAAAGATTCTGTAAGTCATAGGCTTTTAGGCATTGGGGAAACAAGAATTAAAATATAGGGATGCTCTCAATAAAAGTCCTTGATCCTGAGAGTCAAAGGCTTGTGTAGCTAAGTTAGATGGTGTCCTCTGGACAGGAGAACAGGGATAAGTCCAAGGTTCCAGGTAACCAGGAAGCCACCAGGTAGTTAAAGGCAGGGAGCTAGTTGTTTATGTAAACTCACCAATGCCCTACAGAAAGGACTGAGCATCTGACGGAGTCAGCTTTGTCAGGAGAGTGATCAGAGAGGTAAAGGCCCATGTCAAGGTGTGCTCTTCTCTTAGAAGTCAGCTGCAAGCTGCAGGAACCACCTGGACGGGCCCAGCCCAGACACACGGTGGGGAAGGTGCTCCAGAGGGCCAAGTCCTGGGCCTGTGAGCCACACTGATCTCGGGAAAGAATCAGGAGTCATTCAGGCCCAGGCCCAGGTATTCAGGTGGGTAACCCAGCCAGGTAATAGTATTCTGAGCCAAAAATGAGATGGGGCCATAAAGTCATGAGACAGAGTTTTTGGTTGACACATTAGCAGTAACTCAAGATAGTTCCAGATCAGAAGAAGTTCAAAAAATGTCTTTAGCAGCAATGACATCATTGGAATCGATGTGTAGTAATTTAAGTTCATGTATGTTTGTCAAAGTTTAGTCTTACTACTTCATAGCCACAGATGCCTTTTTTTTTTGACTGACCCCTAGTCTCATGTTCTCTCACTTAAGCACAAATAAACAGGAAAACCATCCCTCCAGAAATGTGGATTTATATGATTTTCAGCTCCCCCCAGGGTTGAGCATCTGTTCCTTTAAAAGAAACAAGGAAGAAAAATAGTTTTCTTCCTGGAAAAGACATGACACACCCTCCTCCCCAAAGAGAGAAAACCCGGCAGTCCCCAACTGCGTAAACACTAATTTGGCTCTCTTAAAGAGGCAGGAATTCCTCTTTGTATGTTTATTGGAAAAAGGTCGGCAATGCCAATGTGAAAGTTATTAGCCTTTTCTATTTTATATTGTTGGTGAAAATTGCTATTCTTATTTAACAGGTGGTATGCCTTCAAGGGGCACCATTGTAGCAGGCCATGTATAGTGATAAATAGGTGTGATTATCGATGGCAATGACATGTCCTCTCAGTGTCAGGCAGACAGTAGATCGTCGTGGGGCCTGTGGCAAACTGAAGTGCTCCTGTCCTACCTGCAGGGGTCAGCCACTCCAGCCAGTTGTGGCCACATAGTGTTCCCTGGTTTTCTCATCTTTCCTGAGAAGCTGAGAACCTGGAGTTTTATACGAAAAATTCTGACTTGTTTAGTATTGTCAGCTAAATTAAAAAAAAATTTTTAAGTGTATTCAGGCCCATCAGAACTCATGGGTCGACCTGATTGGCCTACTCACTGCCAGTTTGCCACCTCTGTTTTATAAGATTTGAAATGAAAGGTAATTACAGATGTCTGGTGCCACCAGAAAATGCTCTTGCTAAATGCAGCCAGTAGCTGAGCTGCTGCTTTCCCCATTGTTCCCCCAAAGAAATTTGATATGACTGTGAATGTATTTGAAATATTTTGATTGCTTCTTTACATTTCATGGTGTCTTAAGAAGAAGGCAAGCCAGTTGTTAATTTTAAAATCAGATTTTTGTTCTCCCCAATTAAAAAAAATAAGACACTTGGGACAATTTCCACTTAAACGCCACAACTTGAAGGACTTTATTTATAGTTTTAGCTCTTGGCTTAAACGTTTTTAGATCATGTGCAATTCTGAGCTTAGGCCAAGACTTAAGAAGGAAAGGCAGGCTTTGTGGGGATAGGGCAAGGAATCCTTGTGTGTCCCCCAGGGCCAGGACTTTGCATTGTCTTCTGTTTTAAATTGATCTGTGAATGGAATCTGTTTTGAAGGTGTGAAATCATATGCCAGAGAAAAGCTTTTCCTGATACGGAGATATCAGTTAGGAGCCCTCACATCCTTTCCAGGCCCAGGGTGAAAATAAACAAAAGGAAGTCTGACTGTAAGCCAATATCTCTGATTCCAATTTCAGAGTTTTGGGGGTGGGAGAAAGTTTGGATTATCTAGCCTGTTCCCCCTGGTGTTGGAGCTGTGCCTGAATTATTTCAGACATATGGCTGTAGATGGGACTCCGGACTTTCAGCGAAGGAGACTCTGTAAACCTATCCTGCTGATCAGATAGTTCTTTGTATGTCTTCCTTATAGAAATTCAAGCCGGCCTTCTTTTGTCTGGCGTGTAGTGGAAAAAGAACAGCTGGTCACCTTCCCTGTATTTGAAAACCACAGTGAAGTCATTGGCCTGGTGTTTTTATTTCAGTGATAAATAATCCCACCTACTTAAACCATTCTTCATAGCTCTTGTTTGCCAAGGGCTTAATAATTTTCACTGCTATTCTGTTTCTCAGCCTCACACACTCAGCTTAGTCGCCCAAATACTAGAATGTGGTGCCTTATTCACATTGGTGCTTTGTGAAGGCCACGCTCAGGATGGGGCTTACAGGGAAATTCGTATGTGCCCTGCTTCTCTTACTACTTAAAAATATAATGGCACTTTGAGAAAATGATATATCGCCTATATTCATTTTGAGGATTGTTCGATTGCCACTTTTTTTTTTCCCCTTGGCGATAGTCCTCTATCATGTGTGGCTTTTTTTGCCCCTCTGCAAACACGCGGTGCTTATTCCTGATGTGTTTAATGTCATTCCGGAGCTTCTTCAAGATACTCTTCAGGACCAGCTCTTACCTACTGAGTGGCAGCTATCCCTTCCAATTTTGGATGCTATGTTTATATCTCAAGATGCCATCTTTAATTTGTGATTCAATATTATTAAATGGTGCAGACTTCAGTTTAACCACTGATGAGATAGACAGCAGTTGCTAAGGGCTAATTTGCAGAGGCTGAGTGCAGACCTCTTAGGAATTTTGGTCAGTTGTCTTCCCTCCTGCTCTTTGGTTCTTCTGCAGAATTCCGCTGGGACCACAACTGCTCAGGGAGCTTTTTCCTGTTCTCAAGGGCTGCAGCCGTGGCTCTGAATTGACCAAGCTTTGTGTTTCACACAATCAGAAATCTTAACAAAAGCAAACCATTATGACTGTATATCTGATATTTATGTCAAATAAAATTTCAGTTGAGAAGATTCAAAGAAGCAGTCTTTTAATTATATGTGATGTAGACAACTTTGGCTGCTCCATTAGACAAAAAAAAATTTTTTTCCATTGGATTATACTTGTGTAATTGTTATTTTTTTTAAGTTTTTTTTTTTTTTTTTGGTCTCAAGAAAAAACGTAGTCTGGACAGAGCAAAAACTTTTGTAAAACCCAAATGTGTTCATTTAGAGAGTAGGTAACTTCTATTTTCTCTGTTTTTCCCCCACTGTAGAAGCTCCCTGTTCCCATGTCTGGAGGGGAAAGCCTGTGGAACGCCATGGTTATCACCACTGTCTTTGTTTCATCTTTAAGTTTGTCCTTTGTGGGCTTTGGTGGAATAGCGAGCACTGACAGACTGTAGCAGTGTGCTGTATTTTTACATTGAAAACAATGTCTGTTTTGATTTGTACATAACTCTAAGTAGGTGACAGTAGATCACAGCTGACATTTGCAAAATGTTGTTTTTGTACCTTAGAATTTCTGCCTCAAATAAAATGTTTTGTTTTAAGAGTGTGGTGGCTCATTATTCTAGATCATCTTTCCTGTTGCTTGACTAGCTGGGGTCCCGAGCAGTTTCCTCAGGGCTCCCCCTTTGGGAAGAAGAGAGAATATCCAGGGTGAGGAGGCGAGTGTTGCCAGCATGTCATGCACTATTTAGAAAAAAGGAACCTGCTGACCCTGACCATTTACCTTGCCCTCCAGGAGGCAGGTGCTGGCTCCTCCTTTACCTACTGGTGTCTGGAGCAGGATCAGGGATACTTACCTCAAGAAGAATTTGACTCGCAGAGCAAATGGATTTTCTTTGCAGAACTTTGAAAAGAGCCATTAAAATTTGGAAGCCACTAGCACGTTTCCTGTCATTCAAACAAAAAGAGGTGCCTGTTCCTTCTTCCGACAGATTCTCTCTCTCCTCCTGTGTGCTCTGTGCTCTGAATTAACTTGTTGGTGCCCATCAACTTCAGGGTCAGTCCCCAGCTCTGCTGCTGTCATTGTGACCCTGTGACTGCATCTCTGGGCCTCAGGTTCTCATCCATGGGACAGACCAGACAAAGGCCCTGCTTCACAGGGAGGTGGTTCAAACAGGGTGATGAATGTAAAGTACTTACTGGCATAGTACAGTTGACCCTTGAACAACATGGGTTTGAAATGCATGGGTTCACTTATCCACGCATTTTTTTTTCCATAAATACAGTTGGCCGTCTGTTTCCCTGGCTTTCACATCTGTGGATTCAACCAACCACAGATACAGAAGGCTGACCTAAATTTTATGTTGATTTTCTACTGTGAGGGGGTCAGCGCCCCTAATCCACACATTGCTTAAGGGTCAACTGTACTCAGAAAATGACAGTTATCCGGGAGAGGACAGTGATTGGTAAGCAGGAGAAGGGTACAGAATACAAGCCTTCTGGCCACTACCTGGAAAGGGTATGGCAGAGGCTTCTGTCTTGGGAGCATAGGATTTTAAAAATGGGTTTTCCTTGTTTTTTTTTTTTCTCCCTCCCCACAGAAGGAGTGGTAAAACAGCTCTGAGCAAAGCAATGTTGGCTGCTTAGAGGAGGAAGTTCTGTCAAGTTCTTGCCGCCTAACCTTGGTATAGCCTTCATTTTCCCTGTTTGTTCAGCTAGGATACTGCTTGTCATGTTGTCCATTGATTTCTTCTATCCCGCGCTCTCTGCCGTTTCTCATTTCTAAGAGCTAGTGTATGAGTGCTGACTGCTTTACATGCCATCATCTCTACGCAGCTACTCAAGATGGGTTATCATTTCTTTTTAAGATTTTATTGGGGAATTGGGGAAGGGAACAGTGTTGGGAGGTTGGGGAAGGGGAACATTGTGTTTTCCCAGGACCCATCAGCTCCCAAGTCAAGTTGTTGTCCTTCCATCTATTTGTGGAAGGCACAAGCTCAGCTCCCAGTCCAGTCGCTGCTTTCAATCTAGTTGCAGGAAAAGGGGGTGAGCGCAGCCCATCATCCCATGCAGGAGTCGAACCAGCAACCTTGTTGTTAGGAGCACGAAATTTTGCTTTAGTTGAATAAGAGGCTACAGGCAGTAAGCTAAGCAGGTGGAAGAGGAAGGAGATATAAAATGTATCTTCGCTGTCGTGGGCATAGTGGGTCCTCAATTAATGTTTGTTTCCGCCCCTATGCCCACCATACCTTGTACTCACTGTCCACAGGAATAAAATCAGGAGTGGTCCAAGAACAGGGTAGGTAGAGACTGCAATGGAGGGACGGATGGACACAAATGTGGAGCAAGGCTTTTGCAATGAGACAAAATTCAAATGGGGTCTTTAGGAGTAAGCGAAAAGAATGCAAGCTCAATGGGTTGGCTCCCTGGGCTCTTTCTAAAGGGGATATTGCACCATCTATCACATCTATAAATGATAGAGCCTTTTTACAACATTTATTTGAGAGCCTAAAGTGTGTACTGGGGACACAGTAATGGATAAGATATACACATGATCCCTGCCCTCCCGACTCCACCTTTTTCTGTATGTGGGACTGTAGGTAAATCATCTAATTGCACTGAGCCTCAGTTTTTTCGTCTCCAACGTAGGACTAATACCCACTACACAGGATTATTGTGAGGGATAAATGGAACGGGTCCATAAAGCACCCAAAGCCATGCTTGGCAAGCACTAGGCACTTGGTAAATGGCAGCCATTAGTTACTCTGTGGAAGGGAAGGTCTTGGGCTCTTTGGAGATCATGTGGAGATGGTCGAGAGACCGTTCCCTGCTCATAGGAGCTTCAGCCTTGGGATTTTGTCAGGTGCTAAATTGAAGCATCTCTGTCTTCTGAGAAGAGTATGAGTTGATGCTTGGCTGCTTTGGTGGTAGTCCAGGAAGGAAGGGATGGGCGTTCGGAAGGGGGAGGTACTTTTAGCAAAATTAGGACAGTAACTCTGGGGTTATTAATAGTTGACTTGTGACAGCTGACAGTGAACTCTTGAGACCTGCTGATGTTCCATTCACCAGGCTCCTTTATTCCTGGTTGCCTTCTAGCCCTGATAGAGACGCATTTATCTGGACTTGCTGCTCCACGGCCCCTATGCCAGATGGATGACCACACCCCACTCTGGATGTGAACAAAAGCAGGGATTGTTTCTGTAACAGACTGTCAGTACGAGGTCAGGGGAATTTTCCGAGTTTTAGAAGTTGGAGGGGGGCAGAGATCCAATAATGATCCTTTAGGATGAGACACCTCTGCCTGGTCTTTTCCACTCTTGTCAGAAACCTTCCAGGGAGTGGGCAGGTGTCAGCTTTCGGACAAGATGCAGATATTTCCCACTGGGCTGGGCAGGAGAACCTGCAGCAAGGAAAGGCTGGAACACGCCTGGTGGCAGGATGCAAACCAGTCAGGTCCTGCCTTTGGTTTGTGTAACTGAAGTTAGATGTACTCAAAGGTGCTGCACATGGTGTGTAGAATTGTGCATTCTTACTGGTG